ACCCACTATCGCTATGTTTACTTCTTCACTTATCACTTACCCTTTAGCTGTTTCTCTTTACAAAACTTAAATGCTGACGTAGGTATGAGGCATTGCAATATCTTCTTTCACGACCAGAAACACCACACGAACCCGTTTCAGTAAAATAAAAAAAAAAAAAGATTTAAACTAATGCACTTGAAAGACAGCCTACTACGTAAGTTATAAACTATGACGACTATTATACTACACTTTATTATTCTTTAATATTCCACTGATGAATCACTTCATTGAATAAAATAATCTCCAAAATTTTATCTTCAAGTGCCATTACTATTCATTATTTCAATAAAGCTCTCGAGTGCGCGGACAGATGTGTGTTTTTGCCATTCCGTCAGTGGCGTCTAGACCACGTCCCGTGCACCGGTCGAGACGTATGAGGTGCCATTCGATGCGTCTCGGGCTCCCGACGGGGAACTAATAATTTTCCAAAAACTTTTTTTTGGCGCTGCGATCTTAGAGATAAAGCCAGGAATTAAACCAACGCCTCCTCAATCAATCTACGTAGGTGGCGTTGATTAAATACCAGATCCCAAGGTCATTTTTGCTTAAAACACCATACATTTTTCATGACCTTCGCATCACTGATGTTGACATCTTTAAGTGAACAATTGAATTACCAAGTAAATCGCGCTGCAGTTCGATTTCAATTTAGTCGAATTATTATCGTATTTAAAAAAATAAATTTGCGAATACCTACGCAATTTATTGAACGGAACTTATTGAACTACGGAAATTATTGAACTTGAAGAATTAGAAGTGCATATCGTGAGAAAACAAAACTGTGAGTAATGCTAGAGAATGAATGAACCTTATGTTCGACTTCGCACTTTTACGTTCTTACACAAGTGTGTAAATACCGTTTTCAAATGAATGTGACCCATGACATATACTCATGCAAATTAACCACAAACATAAAAAATAGTCACGTTTTCTAGATTCGCATATAAAACAATTAATAGAGCAATTGTAGAAGTAGAAGTGAACACAAATTAGACTGAGTTTGTAAAGTATTAATCTCTTCAAAAATTAGGGGAGAAAAATATGGAAGTATTAGGAAAATCCGGGGAAGAATCAAATGTAGTTGTAAAAGATGTTGCGATACAATTTTCGGATCTAATTTGGAATGATCTGCATTTTTGCATTTAGCATTTGTGTTAATGCAAATGTGCTATGTGCATTTTTGTGCATATTATCAAAAAAGGGTAAACATGAAGCTGTAATAGAATTTAGCTATTAGCATCAAAACTTGCAAGTTTTTGTTGCGGCGATTATAATTTTGAAATTGAAATAAAACCAGTTCACATCTTATATGGAGGTTTTTTGTTGGGAATTTTTGAATGGGAATATAACATGATCTACTACGATTCATTTGTAAGTCCAATGCCAGACACTGAAAGAACACATTTAAACAAAGTTGGGCCTGAAAGAAATGAAGTATAAAATAAATTTTCAACACTTGAAACTATTTTTAAAACAGCGTACAGCATCAGCAACGCCACATTTTGCTTGTGTTCATTTATTTCACCTGGTCAAAACAGTTTGCCAACATTCTTGCCATGGTAACTAATTTGAAAGTACACCACTTGCCAAATTTTAAGCGAGCAAATACAAAATTTTAACATTTTCGTTAATGTGTACAAATATTTGTCAAAATGTTATAAGACAATATTTAGAGAACTTTCCACTTAATGCGATATTTTATTTATTATTCCTTTTGTACCATTTTGTTTTATTCTGTGTACTGAAATTTTTAAATGATTTGTTATTATATAGCTTAATCGAAATCAGGCTTTCGTAAAATACCGGAGAATTGGACTCTTCGATTGTAGAGATTGTCGGGGGCAAATTTTCTATTGTTTTAAAGAAAACGTGGTTGGAACGTTTTCGAAAATTGGCCATTATTAGTGCAAATATGCTAAAAAAACTTACGAATTTTTTAAAAACCGTTGTTAGAGATGTTCTGAAGCCCATGTGTTATCACACGCATTAAACAATGAAGTACATCTATAATGTAAATTTTAAGGCACACCCAGTGCTTCAACTTGCTTAGCCCCTTGGTGAACAGGGGCAGGCACCCGCTCGGTCGGCGTGCAATCGATACGATTTTCTCCAAACGAGAGCGTTTCTCGCACGAAATGACGTCGCACGTTTATGTGCTTTGTCTGAAAGTGGAAAGTCATATATTCGACAAGCTTCTGAGCCCCGATGTTGTGGTTGTAGATTGACGTTTCATGTAAAGTTTGAAGAATGTTTTTCAAAATCTGAAAGTTTCGACTCGAGCCAAATGAACAGGGGTTTCAATTTGGAAAAAATCCTACGCATGGTTTAGGCGCTAGTAATATTCACAGATAACATACGGACAGATGGACGGACGTTTTGAAAAAATACACCTTTTCCGTATCAGGAGACCTCTACGTGTATTTCCGTTGAAATTTCGAAATCGATTTTCTGCATAACTGTCCCTATATTACGTACACGGGAAAGTAATAACGAAACAAAATAAGGCAATAATGTTTCTTATCCAATACAAGGAAATTCGCTTTCGTTTCGTTTCAGTAAAGAAACGAAATGAAACTGTCTTCAACGATGTTTTATTTTGTAACTAAAGTAAATTCGGGCAGACTTTACTTTTGTTACTTGTAACTAAACTAAACTCAGACGCAGTCGCAAGCAAAAACCACAGGCGACGCTTGAGTGCGGTACAGAGGAAAGGAGCATTGAAAATTGTCTGCACCCATAGAACTCTATCAGAACAGCAGTACTGGTAGTGGCTGGAGCCATACACATCCATCTTCTTGCTCAGGAAAGGAAACTCATTTACCGGACGAATAGCGAACAAGACGAGTCCGTTGATAAGCCAGCGCCCTTACAATGAAGCACTGGCTGAACAACTGGGAAAATGAAAGCAGAGGAAAATATGCAGTCACCACTCATCCCACCCTCCTTGGGTGTCCTTCCACCAAACACATTTCCACACTGGTCACGGATGATTCTGCAAATACCTCCACTGGATGATGAAAGTCGAAAGTGGGGAATGTGTATGCTGCCATGTGCTAAAAAGATGAGGCTGAGCACATACTTTTAGTCTGTGAGAGATGGGCTGCCCACAGGTCACTAGAAGAACAGGTTGAAGTTATAACTCCTGATAACATAATTGAGATGATGCTTATCAGCAAAGAAAGTTGGGACAAGATATTTACCTATATGGAAAAGGTATTCCGCACATAAGAACTACAAGAAATCCCAAGCCAATAACAACTTGAACGGGTAAAAAGTAGGAATACCAAGAGATAAGCCACTCGAGTGAAACGACAAGATGCCATTCGGAAGTAACGCAAAAGCGGGCCTGAAATGGTTCCCCTGTCTAAGGGAAAAAGGGTTCGTGGTTTCAGTGGGCCAGAGTCCCACAGTTTCCCTCGTTACATTTTTTTTTTTTAAATGTCGATTTTATCATTCCTTGATCACTTTTTAAAACATATTCTTGAAAAAATCTGATTTAGCGAGATCATCACTATACTTTCTTCCTAAAGCAGACACTTTTACCAAATGTGGAGCGTTGTACACAACTCACAATAAAATTCCATCAATGATCTTCTTCCTCTCATTCAAGTATGGCAGGAATAAAGATACCTAGCATGAGTTTGCTTTTTAACAAAATAATTAAGAAGTGGTGGGAAATAGTTGAATACTTAATTGCCAAACTAGGAGGTGAAATAATAAAGTATCATTTATTTTTTACTCGTGCATTATTGCTTATTGCCTTTGGTACAGGGCTAGTTATCCACTGCATAACTTACCTGAATAGAGAGGGTCATAGTTATGGAGAAAATGCTACATGTTCTCTTACAGAGGGAATTATGAAAGGGAATTATGGGTGGGAAATGTGAAATGACAAAGAAAGTCAAGTTAATAAATAGTTAATCAATAAATAGGTAAGTATGAATAATTAAAATAGGTAAAAAATAAAATCATATATGTACCAGAAGTGTTAACTAGTTGTAATATTCTTGGGCCAGAGGGAAGGGAGGGAAACATAATACGTACTCTTGAATACTATATCATATACTACTATTTACAATAATTCAATATAATGATAAAAAAATAAGAAATAATAAAAATAAAATAAAATTTTTAAAAAATGTGGGCAATAATGAATTATTCAAAATTTTGTTTTAATGTTTTTTGCATAAGAACATGTTTTTATCTATAAAATTCCAAAGATTATTTCATTTAAATACTACCCAAAAATTCCCATGTTCCCAAAAATTAGGATAATAAAAAATAAAAGTTTAGTTTATAATTACCTACCTACTGTTCATAATGTTTTTAACACACAAGAGCTCCAGGAATTGTGCTTTAGTTACAAATTCTTTCTCAAATGGGTGTACAGATTTAAGCTTTGATTTGAATTGATAGCAATATTTACTTAATTTTCTTTGCCCAACATTAAGTAGTATAGGTTTTTAGTCAAACTTTAAGTCAATTCTTTTAGTCAACCATTAAGTCAATATAGGTTTTTAACGCTATCACCTATATATTTTATGTGTACAATGAATCCACCTTATTATATTATTATGAATTTTGTTTGTTCGTTTGAGAATTCAAGTATAAGAGGTTTTAAAATACCTCTCGTAATCAAATGTGAAGACTGCAATGTACAAAACATAACAAGGTGATTAATAATTTCTGAAATGACTCTAAATGCACCTCTGGATTTATTTGTAACATTCAGTATTACAAACACACTCTTACAGCTACAAGAAGATATTGCAAAACACATGTTATATTTTGGTAGATATTTATTTCAAATAAATATTTATTCTCATTTGTAATATGATTCAATTTGAAAATTTTACAAGTTGACTGCACTGTCATAAAAACAATAAAGAAAAATAAATTAAACGTATTTGTGCTGTAAAAGAAATTTGCTAGAAATTGTGTTGGAGCACAAGGCTTACCCATGGGCTGCCACATGTCTGGGCTCTGCCAACTGTCGTCGATGAGGTGCTTCTCCCATAGCTCCTATTGCTGGAGCAGCCCAGGCTTTGCTGCGGCGCCAGTGCCATGGGTCCGGGGCATCTTGATTGGAAACGTGTACTGCACCCTGAAATTTTAACCATATTATAGTACCATGATTTATCAACTTTGGAGTGAGATGAGTAAAATGATATTGACAATTATTTATTAGTCATTACTTCAATAATACAATGGAATCAAGACACTTAGATATGAGAAACATATATTTCCAGTTCAGAAGCAGAGGCCGACATCAGCATCTTCAGGATTGCTTGGAAACTTAATGAAAAATCTTGATGAAGGAGCAAGCAACAGAATGGAAAAAGCAACAGAAATGGAATCTAAAACTACCTTTACTAGCACAGAAAATTCTATAATTAATGTGTTATACTTTCTGAAATTATAATTTCTCTACTCTTTTCACAAGTTAACTATTTATCACATACAAACAAATAAAAATTGAAGACTAAACTAAGATTTAACAGGTGAGGCCTACCCTCAGAACACCACTTTTGGAATGACAAAAGCTGAAAATTATTTTTTGAAATTTATATATTTTTTAAATGTTTAAATTAAATATTGAATATTTAATTATTATAAACTTTACTACAATTACACCCTTTCTAAGAACTCTCCCTTCCTAACCAAAAGCACTCTCCTCTTTGCCCAACAATTAAGCTAATTATTAGGCCCAATTACACTAATTAAATTCCTTCATGCGACGAGTTCCTGTCAGTGCCAACTTCATCAAAACCTTGTAGGAGCCACATCCATGCTTCTGGTTTTCTTTGTACATATTTTCCTCATTTCCCAGCTATACTTTAACAATTAATTTGATGTAATGTTACGAATTCTCATAATTGCTTTTCTCATGTCTAAAGTTCTATTATTCCATTGTTTCTATTATACTTTCATGTTTTTTCTCCCATATCCTTTTGATTTACCCAAATGAATTTTCCAGTCAATCAAAGGTGGTAACATGTTCAATTATTGGCTTTTAATTACTGTTTTGGCTTGATGTTTCTTGCCTAGAAGCTAGAATTTTTGCTTTTAGATTGATATTTTCTTTTAGTATTCTTTGCATATTTTGTTTCATTCATAGGCTCATCTGCTGTCTTGAACCTTCACCATTCTTATTACTGTCATTATATCCTGATATAAGTTCTAAATGTTCTAAAAGTCCTGGAACTGCTTTTTCTTACTTTCCTCCTCCAACGAATTAATTTTTAAACTGTTTTATATACTGATTTTTTTTCTTCATCTTCTTCTCTTTTTTTAAAGTTTATTTGGAGTTGCATCAACAATAAACTTATAAGCAACTTCAGTAAGTTTCAATAAAACAACAAAATAACAACAAGCTACACATTTAATTATTTAGGATGAAAGTTCACATTTCCATTGAAACATTTAAACATAAAAACTAGTGGTGGTAGAGAATGGCACAGACTTTGTTGTAGTAAAATTTTCTAATTTCCTTGAAGTGGGCTAGCTTTACGGTCCTGCTCCCATCTTCTTGGCAGCTACCATCTATCGCCCCCATAAATACATTTTTTAAAACATTTTCTCAATTTCTCGCTATCCTAATGGTAAATTCGAAATATTACTTTCAAAATATTACATACGAGTAAAACCTTATCCTAAATGGAAATATTTGTTTGTAGCCGTTTTTAAGCAAAAATCGTTTACGCTCTAGTGCAAATGCGAAATTTAAAACACTTTTTCACAGGAATCTTTTGTTTTTGAAAAACTTTATTTGAAACCATTTGAAGAACTTTTACTCACAACTGCAATAATATATACAAATTGCTAGAAATGTCCATATTAATGGTGTGAGAATTATTTTCAAAAAATTACATTAGTGTAATTTTTGAAAAAAACATAAGAATACAAGCAAATTAATTCTATGTCATCTTGAACTGTGCAACAAGCACTAGCCTTATGACAAGTTTGAAGAAAAAAAATTGAGCGGTTTTTGAGAAAATGGCGTTTGAACATTTCTGAAAATGCCGAATTTTGAACACATTTTAAAAGAAAACTATTGAGTTTTCAAGAAACTTTATTAGACATTATTTAATCGCGTGTAGTCTTTAAGTGCAATCATGTTAAACAATCGCCATTAATGTAAATATTAACTATTTGAGAGACTGGTAAAAAAAATTACACTTTTGTAATTTTTGCAAAAACAAAAGAATAGAGCAAAATGGTGTGTATGTCACCTCATAGAGTACATTTAGCACTACTCCTATCCAAAGTTTAAGGAAAATATATGGACCTACTTTCGAAAAAATCTTGTCATTGTTATTTTTTAATATTGCACGTATTGTATGCAATATTGTGCAAAAACTACTAAAAGTCTCAAAAACATGCACATGACCTCAATGAAAGAAATATTAATGGACAAACATTTTCCTTTGAAGTGAAAATCTCTATCTTTAATTTTGTAGTTGTAGGAAGATGACGAAAAAAATTCAAATTTTTTAACCATGAAAATCGGACCTACGTCACGTCTATAAGTGAATTTTACTCTACACTTAAAAGAAATTTAAAGAAAAAAATTGTAGCCATTTCTGAGAAAGTTTTGAAAATGCCCCAAAGGCTTCATGTAAAATACCCTTAAATTTTAAATTCAAATTTCAACGCTTCAACTCAAGCCAAATGGATGTCAGGGGTTTCTTATATTTGGAAAAAATTCTACATGTTGCTTAGGCGCTAGTGGTGTTCACGGGCGGACGGTCTGACGTTTTGGTGTCAATTGATTTTTCGATATCAATGACCCACAAATCATGGATTGTAACACCATGTGTTCCCCTCTTAATTTTGCAACTGAATTTATCCTTTTTTCGTTATCAGGACCTGGCAATGAATTTTTTCTGCCGAAAATTTGTCGGCTTTTCCCGCAGCGTTACATAACTTTCTTTATACTACGTATATTACTCCGTATACATATACACACATGAGAAGGTAAAGTACAAGATAAAAATATACAAATATAAACGACATTTTAACAATAAAACAAAAAAGTAATAACGTGCTGAAACATTTTCTTTAAAACGGCTTCTAATTTTTCAAAGAAAATGTGCATTTAGGACCATATTTTACCCTTATCTAATATTCTAAAGTCGTATGTCAATTTCTTTTGGGGATCCCAAAAATTGAAAAGGACTGCAAAAATGTGTTTTAGGTACCAATAGATGGCAGCTGAAGGTGGAGCACAACCCAAAAGAAAGCCCAGATACAAGGATGATATGAGGAATACATTATATATTTGTAAAAAAACTAGTAAGAGTGTGACTGTGCTATTTGTGGCACCACTACTTTTTGGTCTTCGCCCTATCTTCAATAGTTGATGTTGGGACCACAAATCTATAGGAGGCTTTCTTGAGTGACAAGCAAATGACGACAACTTCTTTTGCAATCTTATGTTGGTCATCAGAATTGTAATTCCACCTAACTTGCTGTCTGGGATACTTCCTATATCTTCAAATCTTTATCTGAATCACCACATCCACTGAAGTTTCATCACATAACTGATCCTGGACTCGACTGATGCAATAATTTTCAAATAACCTATGCATGTTCAGTAATAGAGATTATTACTTACGCACAATTTCCTGAGCTATGGACATAAAAGAAATCCCAGAATAAAAGGGAAATAAATTTACCCACATTGTTTTCCACCAAAGAATTAAAGTAACAAAATGGGGCTCAATTATCCTGGACATACAAGTTGTCTGTAAATAAGCTCGTGCAATTTGGAGATATATTTCTAACCACAGAATCATGTTATGTTAATATTCACAGAGTATATTGGATAGTGGGAATCACACTGTCTTTGATAAAGTTGTAGATTGGGAAACAAATGTTATGCAGTACCCCAGACCTAACAAAAGGATGCAGTTGCAGTTTTAAAAACTTCATAAGAAATGAATATGAATGTAATGAAATAGAAGTTGAATCTAATTTGGTGATTACTTATAAACAATTTCAAATAACTAAATAGAAAAATATGTAGTGTTTACTGTTTTTATTGGTAGTATTTGATATGAATTTATCAATTTTATTTTTCCAATTTCAATCACTTTGTTCAACACTTTAAATTAACAAAATTCTCAATTGATCAATGAGGTATGAAAGGGACTATTACTTTGAATTGAATTTGCCTTGTTTTACGTGGCGAGAGTCGGACCATCAGGCCCGCTCTTCCGTCTGACCACGCAAATTTCGCTACGCTCCTTTCACCAACTAGGAGAGAAAGGAGGTATTTCTTGGGTGAGAAACAGGCGATTTGAATTTAGCTCAGAGGCGTCATTTAGGCTTGAGGATCTTTTACATGCAAGTAAATCTACGAACATGGGACAGCCGGCTTTACTTCCCCTCCGAAGGATTTTTTCGCTCTTAAAAATCCACGGCTTCGATCGGGTTTGAACCTGCCAACTTGGGTACAACAGTCCAATTACTTCAATTCTGCTTATTCATTTTATCAATCCATGTTATTTTTATCACAATATTTTGAAATGTTCACTTAAAAGTTTTTAATTAAACACTAATATGATTATTAGAAAATGTACTAATGTCTGACTTAGTACATTGGCTCTCATATTAGGGAAGAACGTTCTTTATCCCCTCTCCCCCACGAATATGATGTTTATTAACCTTGCAAGCAAACAATCTTGCACCCTCGGCCTTGCAATGCACCGCAGTCGATACACTTATTATTTCTGCAAGAGAACGGCCATTTTAACTCACCTCCTCGCGCGGGTCGCGGTCGAGGCCGTAGCCGCGGGGCGCGGGCACCACGCCGGCGGGCACGTGCGCCATGTGGAGGGGCGGGTGCGGCGGGCCGGGGTGAGCGGCAGCGGCCGCCCCGGGCGCCGGCGGCGCGGCCCACGCCCACGCCCGGCCCGCGGACCTTGCGGGTCCGCGCCCCCGCCCGCCCTGCCCCGGGCCCGAGCGGGCGCGCGCACGAAGCCGCCAGGGCCCGCCGGCGCAGTCGAAGGCCGCTGGTTGGGGATCTCGTTGGGCTCCCAGTTGGGGCTTGAGCCCCCCGGCCCTTGCCGCTGCCGCCGCCGCCCGCCGCCGCTCCCGCCTCCCCACGGTCGCTCTCCCCCACGGCCGCTCCGCCGCCCGTCCCGCGCCGCCGTCGTCGTCGTTGCCGCCGCCGCCGCCGCCGCCTCCGGCCCCGGCCCCGGCCCCATCTCCGGCTCCGCCGCCGTCTCCCGCGGCCGCCACAGGTGGAGCGGGTCCCGCCCCCGCCGGAGCCACCTACAAACCGAACACACGCGTTCTTTTATCTTTGACGAATTCTGACAGACTGCTAAGACGATCATAGTCTACATTCGCGGGAGCCTGAATACTTTAAATAAAGAATGAAAATAATAATTAAAAAAAAACATTTTAAGTCAATCCATAATATCTAATATTGCTTGTTTCGTTATGAATAACGGGACCGCATATCTATTCTTCCTCTCGATGTTCATTGCAGTGCCGACCTAAACATCACTGTAGTTACTGAAAACAATGAAACTACCTTTAAAAATAAAATACTTTGCATTTTTTCACCGCATGACAATGCAGCATTGCATTACAAAATGTAAAGCCAGACAAACCTGAAGTACTAAGTCAGAAATTTAGAAATAAAATAAAAAATATTGGCAAAGGTGTTTGAATTCTGCTCAAATTCTTTGAATATGAGTGAAATTGCTTTGAGCAATATATCTCATTTCATCATTTGTACACATCAAAAAGGTGCTAGTTGTCTATGTCACAGATTTTGAAGTGCCGAAGACACTATACTCTGAATTTATATTTTAGTTTTTATTTTCGTCGATTGATTGATTAGTTATTCCGGGCGCATCAATGGCTAAGGTCGATATTCCTGTAAGTGTAGTACATATTTCTTTCCCTCGGAAGGTGAGATCCGGCGCAGACCTACCGGTCGGCTAGGTTTCTTTCCAAAACAGGTATCTCCCACCAGTCGGACACCACACCAACCGGGACAAGTTCTATGCTACCGACACGCGTCTAGTGTAAATATGAGTAAGGGGTGAGGATAGAGCAAAAAAGGGGGAAAAAAGATCGCGAGTGGTCCGTTATGGTTCTGCTCCGGCATTCGTCTGGTAGTGATCGGAGAAACCTGGGAAAACCACCGACCAGAGCAGCCAGCCCATTCTCCTCCAGACGTCTGAATTCGACACAGCTCTCCAGCTAGTGCCGAAAGTCCTGCCACCGTCGGATCCCGAACTTAGGACCTCCCGGTCAGAGACACTGCAGTGACGTCAGTTGATGTCCTGAGCCATCTCCCCCGGTTTGTTTCAGTTTCTCAAAAAATACTATTCGCTGTCTAAATGCAGTCACAAAATATAAATAGTGGGGTTACAGAATGGCACCAACTTTCCCGTATTTGTTTTCAGTTTTCCTTTGGTCTCAACTAGCTATTCAGACTTGGCACAAACTCTTGCCAACAGTCTTCTATCACCGCTCATATACATTTCTTCGAAATTTTCTTTTTTTTCGGTTTCCTAATAGCAGAACCGAAATATATTTTAAGAATATTAATAAACAGTAAAACCTCGTACTAAATGGCAAATTTTCTTTAAATAGCTTGGAGCAGTTTTTAAGAAAATGGCGTTTAAGCACTACTGTAAATTCGAAAATTGAAGCTCTTTTTCACTTTTTTTAGATTTTTCGACAAACTTCAATAGAATTCATTTGAAGCACTTTGTCACAAATACAATAGTGTTTACAAATTGCAGGAAATGTGCATATTAACGGGGTGTAAAATCTTTAAAAAAATTACATTTGTATAAAAAAAAACCTCCAAAATGAAGTTTACGTCACGTTAAAAGAGTGAAATTAGCACTATCCGTTCGAAACGTTTGAAGGAAAAATTTTGAGCCGTTTTTGAGAAAATGCGAAATTTTGAGATAGTTTTCACAGAAATCTGTTGAGTTTTCGAGAAACTTTATATGACATTATTTAAAGCGCATATACACATCAATATAATAATGGCAACAAATCGCCGCTAATGTAATTATTAATAACGTGAGACACAAGTCAAAAAAATTACATTTTTGTAATCTTTGAGAAAACAAAATAATAGAGCAAACTGAGTTTATGTCATCCCATAGAGTACATTTAACACTATCCCTACCAAAAGTTCAAAGAAAAAAATTAGCGCCGTTTTTGAGACCATCGTGTTTTTGTAAATTTTTAAAATTGAAAATATTGCACGCAATATTGCGCAAAAACTACTAAAATAAAAAAATTAAAAACATACATGACATGACAGTAAAAATATGTAATTACTGACAACGAATTTCATTTGAAGGAAAAATCTATCTTCAATTTTGTAATTGTATGAAGACGTCAAAAATAATTCGTACTTTTGAAATTTTCGAAAATTCAGTGTTAACCGTGAAAATCGAACCTATGGCACTTTTATGAGTGTATGTTACTGTATTCTTATAAGAAACTTAAAAAAAAGCCGTTTTTGAGAAAATTTTGAAAATGTCCGTGGAGCTGCGTGGAGCCCAAGTAGTACCCCCAAAAAGTTTAAAAAATGTAAAGAATATTTTTCAAAATCTCAAATCTCAAAGCTTCGAGTCGAGCCAGATGGACAGGGGATTTTTCAGTTTGGAAAAAATCCTATGCATGATTTATGCACTAATAGTGTTCACAGACGGATGTTTTGAAAAGAACCACCTTATCGGTATCCGAAGACCCCCGAACGTGTATTTCCGTAGAAATCTCGAAATCGATTTTCTGCAGCATTACATAACTTTCCCGTATACTACGAATATTACTCCGTATACACGTACGTATACGGGAAATTAAAATACATTAACATATAACGTATTTATGAAAGAAACCTCCATCAATAAATGAAAAGGTATTAAGTACTCTTCTTCGACAGCTTCTGAGTTAAAAAATACCATCTCACTTAACTGTATTCGGACTACTTGCTGACTCCTTCAACGCGCAATGCGTCACCGCCCAGCACTATGACTTTCTCGTATCTTTTCATGGCCTTGAGCAATGCATATCTGGTGGAGGGTTTATGATTTTCAACGCGGGGCAGGGTGACGCGTGAATACAAGCCATGTCCGCACACTTCACGCTCAAGACTCGTGAGATAGGGCATTCCCTACGTCTTGAGAGGCAAGCGTCCCCAAGGTCGATTCCTACGCTGACAGCTGAAGCCCCTCTCCTTCAATATCCGGCTGCCACGACTAAATAGTGAGTCACAGGGATAGAGAATTTAAAAGAAGCTTGCAGATGCATTTATTTAATTAAGAACATCCCGCGTGTTTCCGCCAATTGCATTAATTTACAGTGATTACGTTTTATAATGATTTTTCCCCTGTCGGACATGAAAAGCTGTTCTATTTCCGCGTTGGAGAAGTTCCGTTTTATACTGGGTAAAATGCCATTTAACTTCACGGGCTGCAGAAATTTTCCAGTTAAGGCAGGTTTTCAGCTTGAACAGATTCAGGTTTAGACAGATTTTACTCTAAAAAGCATAAATAAATTGAAATGGAATTGACACAAAATTCCAACTCTAGAAAACCAAATCAATTTCACATGAAGTCCCTCTCTTAGGTTTAATTTTTTATTCATCCCTGAATAAAAAAACAAAAAATAAAATAAAGAAAACAAATCCGAAATACAAAGATAGCATAAAATTCTATGAATGATTTAGTTTAATGTAACTTTTAAAAAAAAGTTCTGCATGTTCTCTACTTTAGAATACTGAATATTAAAATATACCCTATGTACATAGCTTTTCAAACTTCTAATTCCTAGACTTTTACAGATTTACTGACACTTTCAAGATAATTCTATTCAAAGGCAGCCAAGTGAAGCAAATAATATTGTTATTGATACTGTTATCTTTGTGTAGTTTTCTATTTCCTTTGCTTTAAAAGCAACTATGAATTTTTTGTGGAGGCAAAACAAAGAGAGAAGCTCTAGTAAGGATATGGGGTAACTACATCCTGTTTGCCAAAATTGTTTGAATTACATTAATATTACAGAATAAACTTCATATCACCATGTGAATTTTTTCTACAATCTTATAAAAAATATTTTGAGTATAGATTAAAAATAAATAATGGTTTGTAACAGATGCATTTTGATACACGTAGAAAAAAAAAGTTTATACTTCGAGAGTGAAATGATTGTTTCATGAATGATCTGTTGCTTTATTTTGCCTCGACCTATTGATCTCAGGAAAAACGCTCTCCATCTTGATTGAGCAAAACACAACCATTTCACCAACTTAATATACAAATAACTATTTTAGGAGACTTTTTAACTACAAAAAAATTATGCTTTTTCTGAAACAATACATGCAAAACTATTAACATTGTGTATTGTACATTACATGAACATGATCAAAACATGGATGAAGGAAATGGAAAGAGGTATCACTTTACGACTTGACCAGAAAATAAAGACAATACCATATGCACATGACCACATGATAAAAGCAATATCTAAAAATAAATTATGAAGAGTAGCTTGTAAATTACAGGTCACAAAAAAAATATAAATTACAGGTCACAAAAAAAAAATACAACAAAAACAAAGACAATCCAGAGTAATATCCCCAAAAATTTAAACAATTTAAATGCTTCATGAAGATTTCCATAGAGTCTAACAACTCTAATAGTAGCCCAAGATCTCACTGATGATATTCAATCTGTTATGGAAATGTTGTCAGACACCTACTTTCATTGATAGATCTATCAGGAATAGGTTCAAAAGAATTGTAAATATGCTAAAAGTGTATTTTCTATAATCAGACTTTATAGAGTAAAAACCTAATAAAATTATAAATAAGAACATTTTGCAGTGGAATATTAAAGGTTACTACCTCACAAGAATATATTTGTATTACTAAATGATTAGTAATATATTCTTCTTCTAAATTTCACGTTTTACGCAGCTGCCTATTCCGTCTTCAGTCTCCTTCCATCTCCTCCTTGATCTTCTATGACTCTCTTTCTTTTTGGAGCAGAGTAGAAAGCTGCTTTTGGAAGTCTGGTATCTTCCATTCACAGTGCCTCGAGTCGAGACAGATTGACTGGGGAATATCAAGTTTGAAAAAAATCCTATTGTTTAGGCAGTAATCCTATGGTTTAGGCGCTAGTGATGTCCACGGACAGACAAGTGGATAGGCAGACGTTTTGAAAAAACAACACTTTTTTGGTATCAGGGGACCTCAAAACACGTATTTCTGTTAAAATTTCAAAATTGATTTT